TGGAAAATCGCGGATTAACTCTCCGCTACACTCTTAACAATCAACTGGTGAGTCTGGGAAAAATATTAAAAGAAATCCTTCTCACATTTTGGTGGAAGTCCAATGATTTTAAAATTGGTTCTTTTGCTACGTTTAACAACTAAACAACACATTCATTAACACAATAACTAGTAATAAAACTTTCAGTTAATATATATATTACTCTCGCCCATGACCATGTTCAATTACCATTTCAGTTAGAATGTACAACGATATGGTTGCATTCTTTTTATAATAATTTGATAAAAGTCCATTTGATAACAATGTTTGCCTGATATAAAGCGAAAGTACAACTCAGCAAAAATCGAGGAAGAAATTAAAAATGTTTGACGTATCAAGAATTGTCGAAGTTTTCAAAACCCTACGTTTAAAATGTTCGCACTTCATTTTAGGTCCCTAACTAGTGTTTTATTTTCGGATAAATTTAAAGGAATCTCGTGTTTCGTTGCTGGATGAACTTGAAAAAATCTTTTGAGCTTTTAGTGTTTTATTTTTTATGAATTTGAAAAAGTCTTGAGTGCCGCAGTGGTTTTTTTTTCTAATTTGGGAAACTCTTGGGTACCCATAGTGTATTATTTTGGAAAATTCTGACTTGATCTGTTGAGTTAATCTTGGGACCCCGTTTAATTTTTTTATACAATCTTGAGGTTCTGAGTATGCCTGTTTGGAAAAAATTTGAGACTGCTTTGGAGCCTCTAGTGTCTTTTCTGATAATAATTTAATTAAATTTCTTAAAGGATACGTCATTTGCTAAAATCAGTCTTATCTTAGCAAGTACTAGCTCCGCCTACCCACCCTTTCTTTTCTTAGGGGGCATGTCTTTTGCCAAGATTAGTTTTATCTTAGCAGGTACTAACCCCGCCCACCCGCCCTCTATATTCTTAGATGGATCTCATTTGCCAAAATCACTCTTATCTTGGCAAGTACTAGCCCCGCAAAATCAATTTTATCTTAAAATATAAAAGTAAGAACGAGTCACCCCATTTTTTCGAAAATGTGAGAACACGCACGACTTTATTTAATAATGATAAAATAAGAATTTTAACATTTAGAACATGTTCGATTGACGCTTAATTAATAATTTTAGTCCTCGGTTTACAGAAAATAAGCTCATTCAAATCAAACTAATTTCTACGTGAGATTATTTCTATGTCTGAACATAAAACACTTGAACTGAAGCTTGGTATTAGTGCTGAGAGGATATTTTTTCCTGTTGGTTATCTGGTTTAAATATATTTTACATTGTCCGTACTTGGGAGCGCAACTTCTTGGCACAGGGGCTGCTAGTTCTTATTTTACACAGACTATCACAAAAACGAAAACCGCAAAATCAAATTTTATAATTTTTTAAACAAGCAGGATTTGGTCCAAGCGAGTTTTTCCTAAAAAAAATTTGTGATGTCATCAACATTTGAGAAACTGCAGTGCACCACTAATAATAATTTTCGGAAAAATGGTGTTAGCCCTTCTTGATCTGATCAATAAAATAGATTGTCTCATTCATTATTTATTTTTTGTTACCCTGTATAAGTAATTCTGAAAAATATGAAAGTACATTGAAAATTTCAAAGGAATCGCTATCCCTATCTCTTTGAAGGATTTTAGCAAATTACATCCCAGATTTTTTATAAAAATTATGTAGTGTACAAACAACAAAAAAATTGTATTTCTTAATACTGAAAAGTACTTTGTAAACTAACAAAAAACATTACCTTTTTTTTATATATCAAAAATGGTCAATATATTTTAAAATTTATCTGTGAAGAAAATTAAATGTTGCATTTTAGATATTTGAAAAATTATAAAATTTACGACAAAATCGAAAGAAAATGTGACCCCTTAGGCGTAAGATCTAATTATGGAGACTTCTTGAACAAATTGGACACCATGCTGAGGGCTCCTGGAAGAATTAAACACCTACGGCATTCTACCTCAGTGTAGTGGGTGTCAATTTTTTCTTATTAACACGTTGACTGCCGTGTGAGACCAATTTGGCTTCACGATCGTACTGGCAGTATATGTCGCGTGAGATCCATGTGGACTCACACCGCTGAACGACATATTTTGCTGTGTGAAGCAACACCGGACTCTGCAACTGCATTAAATTATATGGTACTAAAAAGTGCTCGGCACAGTGAACCAGATGCACTATTTGGCCTGTGTGTACGTGAGACCAAGGTGGATTCATGTGGCTAGATACATCTCCGCAACATGTGTGTCAAAAAAAAAATGCATAATGTAATGTTTGATGTAAGTTTTACATCTTGAAATAGGAAATAATACCTGTCTACATCCGTGTAAATGCAAGTGGACACAGAAAACAGCGCATCTGTATAAGTCGGGACGGGAAAATCCGTGGTGACACATTGGTCTCACAAGGCAAAATTGTCTTTAATGGTTGCTAAGGTGCCGCGTGAGACCAATGTGTCACCACATCAAAAAAATTAGATTTAACTAAAAACAAGCAAAGATAAATTTCGCAATATAATGAAAATACGTTTGTTCATTGATTTTTTACATTTGAATTAAAAAAATTGATGTGGCGTGTGGGACCTGATTTAATTTTATACAAGGCGGCAGTCAACGTGTTAACTCTAAATCACATTCCCACCAATAAACAGAACAAAAAAAACCTAGTTATTTTTTATTGACAAACAGAAAATAACGAGCGTTTCAGTTTGTATATCCTTCTCTACATCAAACGGAAATATTATTAATTTTAATAAATGTGTTACATCTACGTGCCTAACTTGTGTCACACACAAAGGCCAATTACGAAGCACAACACACAGCGGTGCGAACGGTTTCAAGCTTACAAAGAAATTTATTATTGAAAAAAATATATATTAACTCTACATTTTCATTATTGAAATCCCTCATTATGCAATTCTTTCAACTCATCAATTTTTTTATAAAAAATAATTCAACATCCGCTCGTACAAATTACTTTCGGTTACTCTCACAAAACATACAGCGATTTTTCAGACTGAGAGACACGCGGACAAAAACTAATAGCGGCTTCCCTTTACAGAAGCCACTAAAATAAAATAAATAACCGTTGTGACAGTAACAAATAATATAATCACCCAGATAGCGTTTGACCTTTTCCTCTGTAACTTTTTGCATTTTAGATTTCAAAAATAAACACCGACACCACAATATGTTAAATTGCAATTTTTCTTAAAAACATTCACTTAAAAACGACAACTAGCAAAAAAATACAATTCTGTAAAAAACGACCCCAATCGATACGATAAACTCTATATTCCTCGATAAAAATATAATATTTTGATCAGTTTATAAACAGCTTCGTTTTTATTTCTCCATAGCAACGTCCAAATAACTTTTCGAAATTGCCTGAGCCCGTTCACCGCCATTTTAAAAGTAATGTCAATCGTTTTAATTTGCCTCCCTCTGTGTATATGTAATTTGTGCTTTCGTCAACGGTGCCTTTAAAATGTTTTTTTCCATCGCTTTTAAATTCGGTAGATCAAAGTGTGGCCAAATCACGCATTAATTACTTTTTTATAGCACAAAGGGTGTAGAAAGGAAGAAAAATTACACGATTTATTTTTTCTTTCCACTGAATGAAAAAACGGCGGAGTATGCGTTAGAACCCATATTTGTTCTAATCCGTTACAAAGTAAATATATGGTCTGATATGTGCCATTCTTGTTATGATTTCGTCGCAAAGTTAGCAGAAGTCCTGTTTCGCTAAAATAATAATCACCCTTAAAAGCTTCATTGTAAACATTGAATCGATGTTGGACGTTTCTCAAATATCAAACTTCATCGATGTTCAATTAGTAAGAAGCAAGAAATGATTTTATTTTGGACCTCTCGTTAATTTCCGTGATGTGGTATTTGGGAATTTGTGACGCAAGTTATACAATGTACTATCTATCTGTGTAGCACGTGCTCGATGTCCACGAACCTGGTCGATGTGAGTGTTAAAGTTTTTTCAGTTTTAAATAATTGTTGTGTAATTGGTACAAATTATTTGATATTTGCCAGTGGTTATGTTTCATTATCTACATTGTATTCTAACTAGTGGTAATGAGGGGTGTATTTTAAAACACTGCTATATCTTGTACAGTTACAATATTTATTATTTTCCATATAAAATTTATCTTACAATTATTTGTATAATTTCTTGCTGTTGATAATTCAATTTGCGATGCCCAATACTACTTAAACCACTGTTCAAGTTTACCCCCACCTACATGGTGGTACCAAAATAGATGTGTACCAAAATGATCAACACTTAGTTACTGGTGAAAATGACACAGAACAAAAATAAATTCCAAATTGACATCACCTACTTAAAACGTTCTCTAGAAACTCTAGTGCTAATTTCAGACCGTGAAAAAATACACGTCACTTAAACAGTAAAATTAACATAAAAACTGATTCTTGTCTGGGCTTGCTTTAGTTTACTCAACGACTTTTATTTTCATTTCTAATTTAAACCGTAAACGCCAATGAAAGTATTTGTTTTTATTATTACCGCTAGTTTGCAAATTTGATTATCGCTTGTGATTTTGCGATTTTCTTGACACTGTACATCAGCTGTGAAAAAACATAACTGTAAAACGCTATGTACAAAAAATATATAAACGTCTAATTAATTCATGTACTGTAGGCTCCACCATCAATTAACAGTGAGATTAACATGTAGAAAGTACCATTAACTCACGATTTCTTACTCATAAAATCATTACTTATCAGTACGTCATTTATACATTAAATAAAAGTGATACTTGAATTTTGCACTCGACAATGAGGTTTTCTTTATAAAAATAAAACAAGATATTAACCATATCAACATCAAGCATCAAGTATATCCCTCATAAAAATTTATACCATCTTATCTAACATCTTAATTTCAACCACTTAAATATTTCCACATTCACAGACAAAAAAACTCGCACTTATCAGCGCTTACGTTAAAAACCACTTACCGCTTGGTTCCGACTTTGTGACTGGTTTTCTTTCCGTTAGTTTCGGTGAACAATTTTTCTTTAAGGGTTTTGCCACAAAAGTTGGCGGAACCTGTAAGCAATATGAGTAAGAACGAAAAACAGTTTCTTCCTCTCTGTTACTTACCACTTTATCACTTCGTTGTCCACTAGGCAGTCTTGCTATGGTAGCTTCCGGACTATCTTCCGGAGGCGGTGGTTGGGTTATCCAATTATACTGTCTCTTATCCAGAGGCAGACCCCATCTTTCATATTCTAAACTTTGAGTTCTTAACGTTTCGTAACAATCCAAACAAACTACGGCATAATCTCCATTTTCAAGTAACAAAGAATGGTCCGGTTGGGGATGGAATCTCAAAAAAGGAAAATCCTGGAATTAAATATTCAAACCTTGTAGCTTTGTTTTTAATCGAGTCGTTTACCTTAATTAATAACGCCCTAACTCGTTTCCTATACGTTGTAATGCCACAAACGTAACAACAGTAGTCGTGTGTGTTATATTCTCTTTTGTCAGCGGGAAGCGCTGATGGTCCTTGAGCTTCGTATCGCCTCCACTGACTGACTAAAGTGTGGTAACAGAAAGTACAAACTAGCGCTGAACCATCTTCTCGCAACTGTTCCGTATTCGGAGGACTGACTCGGTGAAGAAGATATGGAAAGTACGGGGCATTTCTTCCTGTAAAGTCAATTTTCTGTTTCTACTTAACCTTTAAAATAAGGCGAGTCGCTACCTTCGCTTTTATTAAAACTTTGAAGAAACGAAATAACACGATGAAATCATTGATTTAATTTCTTATAAATTTGCAATAACCTCATAAAAAGTGGCCAAAAAGGTCGTAAGGTTAAATGATGGCGCGAACGTTTATGTACTTGTAATTACAGACGTACATACGTAAATTCAGAATTAAATAACCAACAATTATAGTGACTAATGATCCCAAAACGGTAAGTACCGGATAAAAAACGTACCATTATTGCTGAAATAAAAACTAGACAATTATTCTACTAGAACTCAAACATAAAAATTCGAACAAACTTTCAGATATTCTCTAAAACAATGTATTGCGTAAGTGTTTTTTTTTTTTTTTGTTTCATGTGTTCGTAGTTTTGACAATACCGGTAAGAATAATTTTTCAAATGAACGAGATTCATACCATCATTGGCGAAATAGGTTAGACCCCATGCGTAGAAACGACAGTTTTAAATTAAATTTGACTCAACTGTAGTGCCAAGGAACTAGTACTTTTGTCTTGTGAACTCGGCACAACCAACAAAGCTAAACGAATCCCCTTATTATCAACGTAGCTGAGAATAATTAGTACGAGACAAATTACTTCATAATTCTGCGCCTATTATTCCGCTGTGATATTCGTTGACATGTTATTATGCTTCCCAGGGATCCTGACAGTTTAACCACTACTTTGTAATAGTGGAAAATCTCAAGTTCCCTCATTACCAATAAATAATATAACAGTGCTGAAACACACTGAAACATCGAAAAATGATGTAAAGATTATTTTTTGTGACGATTAATTAGCAACGCAGAGAAAGCGAAAATATCGTTTTTCTAATTTTTTTGTCGTTCGCTTCATTTTTTTTTTTTTTTTATAAATTTAAATTGAAAAATGCGTCTCTCGACAAGCTATTTTTTATTATTTCACCATGCGCAAAGTTTTTCTTTACTTTTATCGCCTTATTTCTTCCAAACAAAGCGTTTTTCCGAAAAACCTCACAATCTTAAAATAATCCAAGAAATTTTTGAACACCCCGTATATTAGATATATTAGTAATTTAGTCGATATGTATAAAAACAAGAACAGCAGCAAATCTTGATTTTATAAAAAATATGTCATATTGATATGTAAAAACGTAAAGATGTTTCTTAATAAACTATTTAATTTTTTACAAGATAAACCTCAACGATAAAAAATACTTTCAGCTCTATTGTGTCTCTGAAAGCATGGATTATTTCGCCTAGTACTTATTTATTTTAAATAACCAACCTCACATAAACTATAGAACAGGCAATAGACATAGTATTCTTAAAATTATATACACAACTTTCTGACCGCAGCGCGCAACTGTCCTGTTGGATTAAGACCCCCTGCAAATTTTTTGGCCGTGACTCGCCACTGACTCAAGCCCGATATTTCTTGTACTTCCAAGGCGGGAAAGTTTTGCGTACAGAATTTAAGAGTCTAAAATTAAAACAACACTCAATTTCTTCATTAACATCTACGTAATTTTATTTAAAATATAATTTGTCAAAATAAAACAATAAATAAAACGTGACACATTTATTAATTTAGCTTCATACTTTTTACTTCCCGAGTTTAAGCTAGAGAAGTATTGTAATCGGGTCGACGAATGGCTAATTTAATAACTTCGAGAGGGTAAAAAAAATGTTGTCCATTTCCGTCCGTCTATCTGCGTCTGCAGTTACAATATAATCTCCAAAACTACTGGACTGATCGTAGCGAAATTTTAGGTATATTTTACAAATTTCGTGTAGATCGTAAAACTATATCCCTATTTTTCACCTCAGATATCTAAATAAATAAATAAACAAAATTGTATAAGAACTAAGAACATTTTACAATTTAACTCAGGAACTATAAATCCGACTTATATGAGATGCAAACATTTTAAGGATATGGTATACAAGGCTTTGTTTATTCCCATCAAAAACTTGATGACGTCACCTCAAAATTTTACTATGTACATCCTATGTCTAAAATAATGCTACATTTATGACCTGTCAGTGCATTAAAAAAAAATGATTAAACCAAATTTCCTGAAATTATGGGAATACAATGATGTTGTTTAACTATTGACACCTACTTTTATTATAACTTGCATAGGTTATTATAAAAAAACTAAAATCAAATTTTGTGATTTACGTGTTATGCGTCATGTTTTCATCAAATTATATTTGAACCATTTCTATGCAGGAATATACAGGATTAGGCGCTAACCGCGCGGTGCTCGATATCTCGTAAATTCTTAGAGACCAAAGTTATACGGTTCTTTAAGGACTATACACTAAAATTATTTTTAACTATAGTTAAAAGTGTGTTTAAGGTGTAGCACACAATTTAGTTTTTTTTTATGAAACACCCTATATATTTTTACATATTCTCATTAGTCTCATCCTAGGCTTATAAACTACAGTTTGTTTTTGAAATTCCGATGCGACGTTGCCGCGGTCGTCCAATTTTTTCGAAATTTTTCGGCAATGGAAAGGTTCACAAAAAATCGCCATTGACAATATTTTGTAGGATAATTAAAGGTACGCCCTGTGTTGTACTATCAACAAAAAAAAAATATACAAAGTGTTTATAAAAAATTCTAAAACTTTACAATTTTCAAATATTAATATGTATTTCAATTTTTTTTTTTTTTCAAATAGAATACCCTGGATTTTATTTCTGTATCTTACTCTATTTTTTGTCCTCATCTTTCTAATGTGTCGATACGTCTTTTAACAAAGTAAAAAATCGCATACCAACTTTAAATGTAAAAAAAAAATAGAGGAAGATGCAGTAATAAAATACAAAACTGAAAAATCGATATTTTGAAAATTGTAATAATTAAATATATCTAAACACTCTGTATATGAAAATTTCATTTCAATCATACCACAACAAAGCGTGTACCTTTATTTATTTCTCCACAAAATATTTTAACACATGTTAAAAATAACCCTACTGCGATTTTTTTGTGAACCTTTCCGTTGTTGTTGTAAAGCCTGAGAAGAGGCCAATCAAAATTTGTAAAAATATATGGGATGTTTCATAAAAAAAAATGTGTTACACCACTCTATAGTTAAAAATAATTTTAGAGTATAGTCCTCAAAAAACTGTACAACTTTGGCCTTTAACATTTATTCTAATAATAATAATAATAATAATAATTAATGAGATATCGAAGAACGCGCGCTTAGTGACCCATCCTGTATATAATGAAATCTGTGAGTTTATTAAATTAGGCGATTTTGAAATACTACGAGTAGTAGTATTCCTCCTAAAGCTAATTTTCAATTTACGGTCGTGTCAAATGATGTCTTACTAAATCCGATTATAAACAGTGCTGTTTAATTGGATACACTCTACACAAAATTAATTGGTCAATTCCAGTAATTATACGGTTACTTTAGAAACAGCAAAAGTCGTTTTTCTTGCATTGGACACGAGTCCTAAGTACATTGCTCAACATATGAATTCTTCTACTCACCACCCAGAATGACGTAAAATATCTTTTTTTATCATCATGTTTCTATAACCTTAAACTGAACCATTTTTGATCCAACACTATCAATCAATAAAAAAGTGCAATCCTCGTTTCATCTCTCGCTGAATTGACCTAAATAAGGATGGTTTTACAGTTTAATGATTATGTATTTTATAACTGCCGCCAGTTTAAAGCGTGGTAAATGGGAATAAAATTAGAAAACTCAGGTGAATAAACAAACGGTTTAACGAATATTTTATTTTTATCACTGCATAAAACGCAGTCTACGTAGGCATATCATCGAAAAATAAATTATCTCGAATAACATATTTTTTTTAATTTAACAAATTTATAAAATTTTCATATCAAGGATATTTAATACATAACTGAAAATTTTTACAAGTACACAAAAAATTTCAGCGATCGCTTTTTTATCTTTAAATAAATATTCAAACAAGCGGCGATTTTGATTGTGCGATACAATGAGGCCTTCTAATGGAATTAGCACACTCACCGTTAACAACACAATTCTCTAAAAATGTGTGTCTATGGATTTGTTCACTTACTTTTATCTACAATTAATTTGCCAGCACTGACCTGAAATGAGCGAAACAAAATAGAACGTTAGTTTGTTATTAATGAAATGGATATTAGTTGCAGGCGCACCGGAAACTCGATTTAAATTTTACATTTTACAAACTTGCATGGCAGAGGCCCATTGAAACTTCATAAAGAGTAAAGGTAGCGACTCACCTTGACTGTTTTGCTTACCTTGTGGTCTTCCGTAAACCACTCTAGCTAAGGTAAACTCTGAATGTAATCCGCAGAGAAAGCAGTAAATACTGCTTCCTCCGGGATTACTGGCTATTGTCCTTTCACTATTTGTACTAGGAGGTGTTGGAATCCCTCTATCGCCATTCGACGAGGTAGGGTCAGGCATTGGAATTTCGTACCTAGAATTTCAACGCTAGACACAATCGTAACTTAAAAAAGTAGTACCTTCGTCTTTCCAGAGGTATTCTTTCGTTTTCGTACGTTTCCCACTGCTGCGCTAAGTGATTGACGCACCTAGTACAGCTAAGTACTCGGCCATGCGAGTCCATACAACTGTTTTCGGAAGTTCTAGCGACGTTTCGAAGACACGGAAAGTGCATTGCGTGCGAATTCATGCCTTCGGGAGAAGTACTCAACCATTCCATCTGGGTTCGTGGAAAAAGACCCGCGCAAATGTAGCACCTGTAGCTCTGAGTTAAAGGCTGGCCGTTGATGTCTGGGGAAGGTGAAGTGGTTCTCGAAGCCATACTCGCCTGGAAGATAAATTAAAAATCATAACCAAACGCTTCTTCCAGATAGAATGGAGTAATGCAAATTTTTCGGCTGCTTTAATTACGCTTTTGAGTACTGGCTGGAAACGCAAAAAGCCGTGGACCTTCGATTTAACGGTTGGAGTTAAAAATTCATTTGTCAAGTCATCGAGCTATGAAATTTTATTGTTACAATGGGATTCCACTGTGAGATTGTTGCCACCGAAAACGACGTGGAAAAAGCCAAACCTTCGCAAAATTTTTGACAAAAGTGGAAATTAGTTTTAAGTACTTTGATAGTAGTAGTTACGTCATCCCACTATCCTTAGACACTATCACTTGAAGCGAAGAAATTGTAACCCAGACACATAAATTTTTTAAATACACATAAGCGGTTTTATAAATTATAAGTGAATGTAATTACTGCCGTTTGTTTTCATATAAAGGACTACATCAGCTGTTGTCAAGTTAAAAGTTGCACCTTTGTGCAAATCAATTTAAAAAATGCATTATTAACATTAGTGTTAATTAACAACTTTACAAATGAAATCCACACACTAATACTCGATTGTTCTCATCGAAAGTGTGATACTCGGTTAACAGGTGTGATCAACACTTTACTTTTCCAATTAATGCAATGAATACCGCAGAATGAAACGTGGTCTCGTGATAAGTATAATAGCCAATGTCGAGTGTTAACTTCATTTTAACATTTTATATTAAGATGTTGTAGCTAACGCTTTAGAAAACTTACGTATTTAGTGACAAATAATTTACTCAATCCATAAAAGCGTAAGTCTGAGGCCAGCAAACAGGAGCGGATTTGTTTTACTCTTTAACGAATTTAACAAACATCGTGACATTGTTTTGTCTCAGTATTTAACTGAGTAAATTTTTGACGATTCACAATCTTTCTGAATACAATCCTGAAATTTACGCAATTTTAAAACAACACGCGCTGTCTGTAAAAGATTGACGAAGATCCCATTGTTGCTCTAAATGATACTAATAGCGCCATCAAATTTTATTAGTACACAAAACTATTGTTCATATGATAAATAAAAACATTAAAAAATATCTAAATGATTTTCACTCAGGACGCGTTTGAACTGATCTCAGAAATAAGAAATAATAAAACTAAGCGTTTTAAAATTAAAAATTTATTAAATAATAAGACACAACGATTAAATTATAACACAAAAAAAAATAAAATATATAAATCGCAATCCATTTAAAGCTGTGACTTAAATTTGCAAACTAAAATTTCAATAATAATAAACTCTGATGCAGTTATTTTTTAGATTTTCAAATTTGTAACGAATTTTAAACAAAAAGTTTAATGTAAGTTTAATAAAACTATGTGCAATTGCTCCAAATTGTAATAATAAATCAAGATTGGAAATCCAAAATTATACAAAATAAGGAGAGATCTTTTGGTTACTCTAAAAAAAGCAAATAAAATTATTCAAGTATGATGATAACCTAAACAATTAAGTTGTATTCGACAAACGGTTAGATTAGTTCAATAGGAAAAATTAGAAGCTCAATTTTCATTACTTTGATTCACCGTAATATCTGTCGGCATCACAAAGAATACACGTCCAGTCAAATGAGCGGAAAACGCAACTTCCAATTTATCCCACGAAGCTTGCGAGCACTTGTGACGGTCGTTACACTGGCATATACAAATTGTGTCTTTTGTTATTTTTTTGACTTTTTGTTGGACTTGTTTTATAAAACAAAATCACATACATTTTCATTTAAAGAACAAGAACTAATGCCAGATAATAAAAAAGAGTGAATAAACGATAAAACTAATTACGAATTATAGAAGACTTGGGATGAAACTGACACCAGAAAGAACGACAAAAGCGATTACAATAATAACTTCTACTATTTTGTAAGATTTGTTGAAAATTCTGACTGTGTAGGATCGCTGGAAGCAAAATAAAAGATAGAAAATTTTTAGTATTCAAAATTTATATGAAAAATAAATAAAAAGTCAACGAAAGAATGGACAAGAATTAGAAATTATATTAAATGAATCACTGGAGCAAAACGTAAGTTATACATCCCTGAATAATTCTGGCCACGTAAATATTACCAAATGTTAGTTAATTTTCTTGTAAAACAACAAAATTGTGGTTTCTCGTTTATCAGGAACAATAAGTTTGTAAACATCAGTATTTGCGATATAAGATACATATATTATAGACAAACACTGTTCACAAACAAAAATAAGTACATAATTCTGAGTTGGGGGACTGACTTCTTAATAGACGTCTTTCGATGTATGCTAAATAATTTACAACAAAAACATATTTTTTCAACATAGCTTCAAAATTTATTTCCGCAATTTCTCTTCAATTAGAAATAATCAAATCAGCTAACTTTTATTTATAGGCACTAATAAAAACATGTTTACTACAACATCGCCGTATATAACTATAATGACCTCTTACTGATAATATCAAACAAATCTACGGATATAATGAAGTAGTAAAAAAATATTTAAAAAAGAAAATACGGTAATGTAAGACACTAATAATTGTACGAAAAAAAGTAACCTCACGTACTTTCCCTCCAGAATTAATAATGTATAAGATCAAATAAAAATATACACTTTACTATTAAAAAAAAAAATACACGCAAATGTTGCTTCAAATGTAAAAAAAAACATTTGTTTCCGTAATTAAAACTCGTGACTACCAAAATATGCAACCCATTCTCATTTCAGAAATCAGTGATTTAATAGTTCATTAAATGTAGTCCATGCGTATCTCATTTCATTTTTAACTGCGGAACTGTGTTGTGTGTCGTTGTGACTAATACTTCATTTCAATCCTCTTGGAGTTTTCCAGGTCTTGAAATACGAAAATGCAGGCTTCACCTTTCCGCCTGTTAACAAATTTTTGAAAAATAACCACCAAAATTGTAATAAAAAAATGATAGCATCTTGACTTTCTGTTAAGTAAATCTCACTCGTGATGTACGGCGCCAACGCTATCTGAGAATTAATAATCCACCTCTATTTTTAACTTTACACATCAAAGTTGTCCTCCAAGCGGAAATTTGTACAATCGAAATCCGAGCTTTACAAAAAATAACACGAGTGCAGGAAACGTTAATTAAAATTTATTATATACTAGGCGTCTCATTACTTAAGAGTTTTAACGTGGAAACTTGAAATTTTCAGAATAAATATGTTAAACAACAATCTGGAAGTAGTTCTAATTTGTTTGAGCTGTGAAAGTGAAAACTTTTTTTTTTTTTTCAAAAAGCGTATTTATTTTCTAATGAAAGTTATTTTTTAAATATTTCCAAAATAAGGTAGTGATCTTTAAAAATTTACATTTGCATAATTAGTGGTATAACAGAGTCAACTCTATAACTAATCTATTTGTTCTAGCAGCTGTTAAAAATAGCAGTCCTTGCAACAATATAATTACTTTACCTTTGCTGTTAACAGACGTGTTAAGTAGCCGTTGATAAGTTTTAAAAATAATTTTTTAGGTCACCATAAACTAGTAAAAGAATCCACCGTCATACATTTAACAATTTTAAGGCGCACGCTATCAACTCCGACCAATGTGATTATTTTTTAACAGGCTGAATTATATTAAACAAAAGGTTATCTTGGTTTTTGGAATATAGTTGAGTGGCAGAAATTTACTAAACTTGTAGGCTTTTCTTTACTTCATGTATTTTTTCTGTAATTCGGTGAGAACCCCTGGGGAAAATGCAACAATTAATTATTATTGTAGTAGAAAAGGGGGTCATAAAAAATATCTTCAAAACTAAAAGTTAATATATCCATAATTTAATTTTCTATACCCATTATGTCACTAAATTACGTAGGTCGTCGAACATACAACTTGTGTTGTGGAGAGTTGCCCATAATCTCGAGGCTTAACAACGTAAATTGTGCTTTGTTGTCACTTTCGCAAATTCGTTTCGCTTATTGTTTTCCCCATTTTCGACAAATGAAAGCCAAATTTAGAGGTTTCAAGAACTTAGACCACCTAATTATGACTCGCAGAATATAAGGACGTGAAGTGTAGAAAATCTCCATTATTTCGAAGAAACGCCATTACACCCCCAAAAAATTGGAGTTTAGTGTGCCATTTTCGAAGACGACTATTTGGGTCTATTTTTTTTCGAGAACTTAGTTACAATTGCGAGATTCTAAAATATGCTGGAGGAATTTATGGACCAGCTTGATCCTGAAGATTTGCAGAATTGATATTTTCAGCATGACGGCGCAACAGCTCATATAAGTTTGAACTTTCAAAGGGAAACGGAATTGCCTGATTTGGCACCTTTAGATTATTTCTTGTTCCCAACTTTAAACAACACTATTTTTAAACAATCACAATTAAAGACCTAAAAATCATACAAGAGTGTGGAAAGTTCTTATTCGAGTATTTGAAAATGTGAAACGCCAAACCAATTTATGTATTGAAGCTGGAAGCCAACACTTCCAGCATTTGTTGTAAATTAAATAAATCATTTTAAATCCAACGAGGATTTAATTCTTGTGGACATAACATAAAATAGCTTTCTAGGTTCAACGACAGACAACCTATATTCAGGTTATGCTGTGAAATTGCCAATCCATCACAATAATGCATATTTTTAAACACAAAGTGAATTGAGTGCTAAATTCATTAGAATTTTATCATTTTTACTTCCCGGGCGTAAGCTAAGGAAGTATAGTAATCGAGTCCATCGGGCAACTTGCCAGTCTCATGTTTTCTTTACGATTCGTTACCTCTAAAGTATGACAAAACTGATCTCCTATTTCAGTCTGTCTGCCTGTCTCGCGTCTGTGTAAATTTTTTTCTATATAAATTTCATGTAACGCTAACCAAAATTTGGCTATTCATTCCCACCAACAATTTGATGACGTCACCTTAAAGAATTCTATTTTGAAATATTAACTCAACCCTAGCCTCATAAATCAAGGATTTGTCTTGCCACCTCAATATCTACTGCTGGGTAATCCCCTTAAACAGTCGCAAAGATTTACAACTGAGGGTTTGCCGCATTAACTGCTCCATTGTCGTCTTCACAATACCCTAATTTTACAACAGCCATATAACCTTGTGGTATTTCGAAGACTATACACTGGACGTAAACATATTGTGCGTAAATGGCTTTGACGTTTAAAGTATTTTCCAGCCGACCCTTCATAAAATTTAGCAAATGCAAACCATGGCGCGTGTCAGGGATGGCCGAAACAATAATACCCTGTGCTTTTACCAGAAAAGCTCTTTTCAGGTAGGTTAGCAGTAAGCGGGTCTAAGATATCCGGCTGTGACGCCCTATTGAATTATAATGGGATTTAAAATGGTGTGAAGCCATAAACGCACAAAATGTTTACGTTTACAATACAACAATATACTCCTACACTTGCGATGTACGAATCCGCTTTGAGTTTTTTCCCTAAACGGCAAAAAAAATAATACAATATAATAGCCTTTTCCCAATAACTGAATCAAACTAGTTTCTACTTGACGTTCTTTCGATGTGTAAAAATAAACACTTGAAGTGAAGCTTGTTATTAGTGCTGAGAGCATATTCTTTCACGTTGGTTATCTGTTTTAAATATATTTTACTTGGGAGCGCAAATTCTGACGCAGGGGCTACGTGGGAAAAAAGGAAAACGCAAAATCAATTTCTGTAGAAATAACTTTCGACTTTTCACCCGGTACAATTTTGAATTTTAAAAAATCCAGATTAAAAATAGCGACCAATCAATAAATCACAGGTTCAGGTTCCAGATATTATTTTGCACATTTTAAATAGTCGTTACTTGGGAAAATTTTGAGATGCCATCTAATTTTTAGTTACTAATTTAGGTTAGCATTTAGCACAATATTCTTAAAATTTATCTAAAATTGCACACCAATCAGTTGATTATTAGTCTAATAAAATCGCCAAGAGAACAGACCACAGACAAAAGAAGACCTACTTTTGCGTATTTTGGAAACTGTTAAACGTCTTCCCCTACACACTGGCTTCAGTTTCGACGATACCGAGTGCTACAAACTTTATAATATTCTACATGTTCTTGGATAAATTTATTTCATTTGCCGGTACTAGTTTTGCCACATCAATTAAAAATGAAACATCGTATGAACTTATACCGCAGTTTGTACTAATAAACGACACCTACTGTGCTATAATTACACTAAATTATTGACTATAATAAATTCGCAAAATATTTGCATGACGTTTATTCATTTCCAGAGCAAAACATAACCATAAAAATTTGGAAAAACAGGAACGCAACTTTTAAAGTGCATTTATTGTTTATTCAATACGTTGTTGTAATATTTCTACATTTAATACTATACCGATATGGTTTCAAGTTCAATTAGAGTGCACGCGACACATTACGTCCACCATTAAACAATATAATAACAACTTTAATAACTTTTTAAATAGAACAACAGGATTTTTCAATGTTACACATTATCTACTGTTTACTGAATAAATATGATATAATAATCAGCTTTGTTTACTAATTTTAGACAGAGAGTAGACACATTCTCTTAAAACTTACACAAACTCAATCTTTATTTACCTTCATCATCTGTCGACTTTCCAGCGCCGCTTGCTTCTTCTTATTGATAATAGCTGGATTGATGTCGTACGGTTTATACCTAATATCAGACCCTGCACTATTCGCGGGCGACTTGACAGTACTGGGTCTAGAAGAAGTACTATTATGGAACTGCACGTCAGTCACAGACACATGATTATTCACGATAGCACTAGTATCACCCCCGAACAACTGTTGTTTCTGCGGAATCGCCTTGTAGCATATGTAACACACTTGGATCATCCCTTGCGGACTGATGGGGCTCGCCCCCGGGGGCGCCTTCAGCGTCTGGATGAACGGATAAAACTTCTCCTTTTCGGCATTTGGACAACAGTAGAGCAAACGTATGCTGCTGGAAGGATACTCCAAGGCACAGATGTAGCAAATGAAGGTCGTGGTGTCCAAAGTCGACGATTGTCGCTTCCTCAGCGTGTAGTTTCGCTCCGCGTGGGGCACCCCTTGCGCCTGGAACGCCTGCCACTGCTTGATCAGGTGCTTCTGGCACTCACCGCAGGCCTGAACGCGGCCGGTGGAATCGATGGGACGGGATCGGCTCGGCCTCGGGTGCTCGATAAGACTGGGAAAGAAAGGTTGAACGGGGGAATCTGGGAGCTGCTTGGCGGCTATCACTTCCAGGCTCCCCCTAGGGAAGCCGTCTCCGCACACGTAGCAGACTTCGGTGGTGGAATTTTTGTCGGGCATGCTGAGATCTAGGATGTCCGTTCCCGTCGAGGAGTTGGAATTTTGACTGTGGAATACTGGAAGCGACTGGATTGAAGGCTGGGAGTGGGTCAAGTCCAGCGCACCTTCGGGGATCATTTCGGTTGGCTCACGGTCCTCGGGAGCGATCTGAAGCAAGAGAAAACATGTTAAGTAAAATTTTATTTTACTAAAACAAATTTTGGAAAATTAGACGCATAATTAATTGTTTCAATAAAGACGTATTTAAAAATTTTCCGAAATTAGGTGGTCCACTTTCTAAATGTACTGGTGAAATCACAAATTATTTCATACATAACATAACTCTTGGACATTTACAATATTCAAGTTTTCCGTTGTAGAATATATAGTGCGAACACTATTTTTGCATAGTAATAAAATTTATGACCTCTTAGTGTCATTTTTATCAACAATGGCCGAACAACCTTCCCGGTAGGAATCTTTGTCGATCCTTCACGACAAAATGTTGGTCGCCGGAGATTCACTCGAGTAAATACTGAAACCAAATAATTTCATTATGTTGAAAGTCAGCTCATACACTCGATTTACAACCACAAACAAGCTAATATTTACAATTAAATTCGTCACAGAACAAATCAGTCCGTTCCTGTACACTTTTTGTTTACCGTCAAGCTCATCGATGGTCTTGGACTTTGGTTCCCTAACTTTTAGGTTGTAAAATTTTATGAGCATACGAAATTTGTGTACTATTGAATATTAAACATTTGTGGAATGTCCCATATCAATAGGTAATCATTTAAATAGATTACAATACTGCAATTGAAATACTTTTAAAGTTACTTAAAAAAATACTATATTGCTGAAAATAATGATTTGATCTAATTTTGTACATCGAACTGTTCTTTGGATTGATTTTTTTGAAAAGGAATAATAGAAACCTAAAACGGACATTTTAGAGCATAGAAGATTTGGGTCTTAGCAACAATAAATAACTTTGACTGATTTCCCCAAATTCACCATAGATCTGAAAAATATTAACGTGAAAAATATTGACAATGTTTAAATTTAGTTCGACAATGTCAATTTCACTACAGTCACAAATTCAGGACTATACTTTGGAATAGGATAAATAGGTACAACCAGTAATCAAAGCCTTATTATATTTTCAGAAATTCAAAGAAATTAAATAAGCTGTTTTTAGCATATCGATAAAGTAGGTAAATCGGTTCAAATACTAACTTTTCTATGTAAACAATTCTAGAAAATAAAAGGATACGACTGAAGCACAATCAATACCGCAAGTTATGTATTTCAAAACATTATTTAAAAAAAAATCGGGATAGCAATTGCCCGAGGACATTGGTTAAATAAATTTTATTACAATTTATTTTGTGGAATGTTAAAATACTAAAGGATTTTTACTTCTAATTTTTTTTTCACTCTATTTCTAAAGACAAGTTAACCGTGTCTCACGATTTCAATAAATCGAATGTACAGTTTTGGTGAAATTTCGTAAATTAAAAATGTTGATAAAACTTTTTAGCTTTAATTACGATACGCATATATCTGAAAGTCGCGTTCCTTAGTACATCACATGAGTAATTTGCACTTTTATTTTGTAACGATTAAAATGTTGATTTTGTAGATGGGTACATAGGACTTAAAAAATTATATACTTAAGATAAGCTGCTCAGTGGTATTAAAGTTACTGCACTAAGTATTTGCAACTTTGTAAAATTAATTGTTTTAATAACCAATAAAAGCTGCCAGCCCATTTTTCAAACAGTTGTGCCTATTATGTTAAACTCAGAAACAAAAATAGCACAGTAAACAAAATGAACAACCACTCTAGCTGCCAAACAACTATGAGTATGAACCAGAGTTTCGTATTGTGGCTGTTTATCGCTATCGCTTTTTGACATATCCAACAATTTCATACAATCAAATTCCTGGTTTCTCAAAAAAGCATCTTGGTATTCATATAGGACAAGTATTTGTTAATCTGATCTACGGGAAAAAAATTAAGCACTGTAATTCCTTTTGACGGGAATAAATTATTTCTTTCCTGAAGTGTTTTTTTTTTTTGTTATTTTAAAGGCGTGATGTCCAAAATGAGTGAATTTGCCTTTTTTAATCTACGCTGATTACAGCGAAATTATCTTAAAAATTGAGATCTTCATTGCAAACAATGGTGAAATGTAGTAGCTTTATAATTATAATTATACGATTTTTTTTTCTTTATTATTAAACACATTTTTTATAATTTGTAAACATAATTTAAATAAATATCAAAGAATGCATAATTACATCGTATAATATACAACAACAAACGTAGTCTTCGTTTATTTCACTGGCTGTGGAATTTCGGAATCCAAGCCCAACATTTACAAAATTTGTAATCTGGTAAAGTATTTTTTAAAGTTCCGTTCCAATCATTCCACACCCACAGACATCTGTATATTATTCCAAATTATTTTTGAATTATTTCAAATCTATTTTTTATTTTTTTTAGAAACACTTAACTACCACCAGAAATTACCTATACAGACATCTGACACATATAATTTTTTAGAAACTTAACGTTGGCTTAAGAATATACACACTTAAATCTCCATCTATTCTTATCGCATTTCCAGATGTAGTTTCAAACAAATAAAATAAACTTTTGATGAAAGTAAACATTTTTCACGAAGTCATAACCAGATATTATCTGTTTTTCTGACATCCGCACTGTCACTGTTACTTTAAGATAAAAATTACTGAGCACACACCGTGATTGCTGTTTTTTATTTGCGGCCGGCATAAATAAATTTGTTGAGCTTTAGCAACACACAATTGAGAAAGTGAGTTTTTTAACATGGGGTATAATCTAATAAATTATGAATGACTAGTTAAAAAATAAGCTGATGCTTTTTTAACCGGCGATTGTTAGAAAATACAATACACGGTGTTTGCTTTTCATCTGTTGACTATTTCTATATTCAAGCCTAAAATCAAATTTGATGCAACTAGTATGAATGTAAAAAGTAATGAACAGACGGAGTGTCCTTGCGGTACACCTTAGTGTTTTTAGTAATTTGTAAAGCAGTTAAAAATTATTACAACTGCACATCATGCTGCAATTAAACGTCTAATTCGATTAAAACTTCGACAAAAATCACCATTCTCAAACAAGTGCTGTAATGCTACAACGACTATTTTTGTAAACTTGTGAATCATTTTAACCCGCGACCATTATTGATTTTTCAAATATTACAATTTAATTGAGTAAGTTACGAAAGCATGTGAATTATTCTTGATTAAGATTTTTTAAAACGTCATTATTTATTGATTCATTCTATCTACACTAAACTTTTTTTGATTTTTTTGTATGACCTACGATTACGTTTTTGTTGGATTATCCAGATATGGGAAAGTTATTAGATCTCCACCAAATTTTAAGTCGCTCTTTTCTGTACTGTACTTTTCAAAGGAGCACTGTATATTTTTAAACCCGTCCTTGCTGGCGTTACGACCATTTCCTGCAAGATTATCACATGATTACTTGAAAATCACGAAACATAAATCCTGGTTTACAGTATCTATTTGTTACGGTTGTTGTTTATTTACTTTTACGATTTAGAACTGTTAGTTCCATAAATGCATTTACTAGGTTACCTGCGTATTTTTAAAATATGACCAAAAATTGATTAGAAGGGTTTTCTTCATCTGACGTCCATTGAGCGAGCCTTTTTACGGGATCTGTTTAGTTTTTGGAGTGATTCCAGTCCAAGTTTTGTCATAGAAGTGATCACTTTGATTGACGGTCAATATCCATACCGAATCCACGACACTCTTAGCGCAGAAATCATAAAGAAACACTGCGACTTTCGTCGGATGGTTACATCACTATGTGAAGAAATAAACTGTACCGAATGTCGCGAGCGTAGCGTCGACATTGAAACATACTAATTGCGAACAAACACTGAACACAAACAACAAAATGTTGTGCTTTTGCGATAAAACCGATTAAAATCGATTCTGTCACTCACACAATACTTGTGTATTAATCACATTTCGAGTGTCCTCATTCAACTTTCATTACCAACCAAATTAAGCGATAAACAGGTACCGACCGCGCTAACGTTATTACAGATACTAAATAAAATTGGTTACATAAAAACCTAAACAAATATCATTGTTTTCTCATCCAGTTAGTATAGAAAAAGTTAAGCTTGCAATACGTCAGCGAATTTTTGTTAGGTAAATACTGTTGCTCTGTAGCAAAACACCACCCGTCGATAATCACACCGAAAATCACAAAAGCAAACGCCGTCGACTAAATCAGGAATAAACTGTAAATCGATTGTTTATTACTAGTATTGTTGTAAATTACTTTGTTTGTTCTAAACAAAAAACCTCACCCGATTTGATTAAATCAGTCGCTATAATCGCTAAGTACTATTTCAATAATCAATAATGCGTCCACTTTAGATGTGTGTGTAGATATTGGTTGTTTTCGTATTTTTCAAATGATTTCTTGGAACAACAATACAAACGTTTCTACCTTTGAGTTCAAAATCAAGTGCGATACTTGGGAAAGTTTCTTTGAAAGGACAAGATAACGCTTGTTATATCATAATCCATCAAAAACTTATATCAGTTAAAACTGTTCGTAATCTAGATTTTTAAGTAGACAGAAATTTACTACACAAAAAGATAAAACCAATCTTGGATGAAACGCGTAACGGTCTCTATCGATTCATCGATATTTCAAACCGCCTGCTAATTAAAAATAATATCTGCTTAACGAAGGACGGCTATTTCGTAATCAAAATTGGCTCTTCCTGTTAAATACACAAAACAAGCTTCCATATAAACGTCACACAAAGGAATTTCAAGATATTAAAACACTTCTGATCGTGTGTTACCTGGGCAACGGTCGAGCCTTGATACTTCAAGTCAGTGCAAATTTACTTTGCCTCAAGTGCTCTTCTATTTCTTTTGTTAATATTTTTCATATCTCACAATGAATATCACCCACATGTGCTTATAATATAACGTGCAGATCACGAACTAAATCATCAGTGGCACATTCACTATCCTTATGTGTGAAGTGTTTACTACACAATAACTACGAATACACATTTTGCAAGGTATAATTTTGATACACTCATTAAATAGATTAGAAGTACTCCACTAAAGTAAAAATATGTAAAAGCAGTTTTGTCGAGTTTAAAAAATCAGTTTAACAAGATGTGACATTCATTGCTATTAGCAAGGTTTTTGAAATATTTGGACATCTATCCTCGTTAAACTTCTCAATATGGCCGTAAACATTTCAGTCAGAATTATTGTCCATAAAATTTCCGACTATAACATTATCATAACAAAGAAAAGCTACTTTTGCTGTAATGCACGGCCGTTCTCTTATCTGAACATGAATTAATAATTTGTTAATAACCTTTCTCTTTTAAAATACGCCACGTTACTTAAAATAATACGAGTGTAGTTAAAATATTCAAATGTTTCATAATCCGAATTACGCAGCGTCGAAGTTAAGGGCACGCAAAACACGCGTTACAAAGGACCAGGGAACCCGGATGCCCAAAACTTTTAACAGGATTATTTCTTAATCGTCCTGCGTAAGAACTTAACGAAAGATAATTTCAGTGTTTGTATCAATGTCAACAAAAAATCGTCAAGGAAAATTCTAAATTTAAATAAAGTGTTTGAAAAAACAAGTGCGTAGTACTAATTTGATAATATCAGATCTTCTATACAGTTTACTTTCAGAAATTGCTCTCGACTTTTTTGAATATAATGCTACTCTTTCTTCGAAACTAGTTTCTAATTATTAATAGAACCATTGGTTAATTTTATTCAATTATTTATTAAATGCGTATTATTTTCAAATGTAGTTATTATTTAAGCAGGAGATGAATGAACTTTCTGTTAACAAGAAATCCGAATACTACTTTTTTTCCAAATTTCTCGTCAGTTCGTCAACGGATCTGTCTAGATTTCGTTCCTCGTAAGAAAAAAATTCATACAAAATTAAAAAACTTGCTAAAAACGTTAACCTTGCATAGAAAACTTGTGAAGTTGTAATCGTACAATTATCTGTGGACTAGACTTTAAGCAGGACCCCCATTGAGAACGGAACGGATCGAATACGATCGAACGGTTCAAACTCGCACACTGGCGGCATCCACACTGCTTGTCCTTGCTGGTCCGCTCTCAGTGTGCAGGTTTCCATAAAATCGAATGATTTAATCGTTTATAGTCGATCCTATCCAATCCGTCCCGTTCTTAATGGGCGTCCTACTTTACAATAAAAACTGAAAATAACGATAAAGCAAAATACGTGTTCTCCAACAAGCTCCCAGTGTGTTTTATGTCTTAACTGCACACAGTTTACAATAAAGAAATTATTGGCTTCGCGAGACACAAATTAGACACATATTTTTTTATTGCAAAGTGTGTGGAATTAAGTTATCAAAGATATTAGGAGCTTGTTGGGGAATACTAGTAATGTAATGAAATAATTTGTTAGAATTAATGTGTATTGATTTACATTCGCTTGCTTTGTAGTGTCTTGTCATGTCAATTATCGTTTTTCATTTTTTGAACAAATCACTTAAATAATAAATGACTTCATTTAGTTTGAGGAAAATAGTTTTGAGTTGTTAGTATTAACAATTACTGTATAAACATGCCCTAGACAATGAAAATGAAAATTCTAACACAGTGAATGTATGTGACCAAAAATTTATTGCGGCAGAAAAGAAACGCAGGTGGCGATTAAGTTTCGATCATTATTGAAAATTTAGTCACAATCACGTGAGCTTAAAATTTTAATTAATAATATTTACAGGCACCAGAGGACGAAGTTATGAAACCTAACCTCTTCATATTAAACAAATACAGATAATACTAGTTAACAGTGTAAGAGGCTAAATGTCATCCAATAAATGTGTTTTGACACCCTATACATTTTTTTGTGTTGTCTACGACATTCAACTTTTTTTGATGACACTCCACATATTTTTTTGCGATTCTTTTTGAGCTTGTTTTTCTAAATTCCTTAATGTATTGTATTTTAATCACCTATATGCCACTACCTATGATTCGAACGCATTATGTTACGAAAACACACTCTGTTAGCTTCTTTACATTTGGTCTGCAGTACACTTTTCATCCACTAATGATAGAAAACGGATTAACAGTTGCTCCAAAAATATGAATGCATCGATTAAGAGCACGCCTATGGCGGTATTTCTAGAGTTTTCCCCTTTGAAAACGTTCCGATCAACATTAGTTCAGCAAGGACTCGTATGTCAATTCCAAGACGTGCAGTGTAATAGTAATAATAAAACACTGCGGTGTACCATTCTTGAGATTTGATCAATAAAAAAGTATAGATAATAGCAGTAGCAGTGTAAGAAATAAAAAACCCCATGCCACACATTCAAACGTGGGCGATTTTAGTATTACAAATCCGAAATAACCCTGTAGCAACTCCATTTATACAACCTAGTAAAATTTCGATTTTTTGCGAAAATATGAATCCCTTGGAGAAAATCTCAAGACGGATTCATAAATAACAAATATAGGAGTATGTTACTTTAAAAATTTAAATCCTACTTACTACGAAAAATTTTGGTACAATCTGTCTAATAAAAATTGACACAGACAGACGACAGACACTCAGAAACGGGAGACCTATTTTGTCGTACTCCCGGGGTCATGAAACGTCAGGAAAACATAAAAGTAGCCAGTCGAGAAGTAAAAAAATGATATAAATGCTTGCACAAATGTAACACGTGTTCCACATTTGTATTTATCCGTGATAGTTTGTTTCCAAATGCTAAATGACAAAAATCATACGAGTTTAAAGTGGAAGGAACTTCTCAAGAAAAGTAGAAAAAAGACGTATCTTTTTGAAGCACCATATGTTCACAAGGTAAAATTAATTTAATTGGAGTACAATGATTTTAAGAAATATTAATGTAAAATTGGTGGCCTTTTTTGTCACTAAAAATTTACTTCACCAAAATTTCAAGTAGCGTAAACCTTAAAAATTCGAAGTTGTTTGATAAAAGTCCTGTTATTATTGTGGTTACTATCGGGGAAACAGCACGACAGCAATGCAATTATGAAATAAATCAAACCGTTAATATCTTAATCTCATTTAAAGTTTCACCTGGTTTCGCCGAAATGATAATCCAAATATAATATCTAGACATCTTTAATAGTCGCACTTAAAAAATTATCCCAAATGAAAATTAGATTGTGTTTCTGACGAAATAAACTGCTCTATTTACTGCAGGAAACACTGCTTATGATAAGGATAACCAAGCACGCACTTGTATTTTTACGGCGCTATTATAATCGATGAAAAGTGCGATTTAAAAATAGTACCGATAACTATTGCGATAGTACCCGATCCTGTTCTATCCAGATAAGGTAATATTGGGTCTAGGTAAACACACCCATTCTACAAGGCAATTGAAGCCAACTAATAACACAACATTCAAGTTCGTAAATAGCACCTCAAATTATGGAAATATTGGTTCCCAGAAAAAGACAACAAAATTTAATTCATTATGCCAGCGACATTAACTCGGAACTACTTCGTTCCGATAACAACCACAACCGATAATACTATCGACAGCTGTCTACATTAAAAAATTACCTGCGGAGGTCTTGTCGGGATGTCGAGTTTTATTTCTTCCCTCCGACTCGGAACGTTACTTCCAGTGTTACTTTCGTTATTCAGTCCCAAAACTTGCGCCGCATATTCCCCTTGTACACCCATGTCGGCCCCAGTGTAAGGTCCATTATCGACTCTTTTTAACCAATAGAGTCTTTCCGAATGAGGTCGAGCCGTTAATTCGTGAGCCTCCCATTGTTGGATCAGTAAAGTGTAACACAGAAAACAGGCAGGAACTGCGACGTCACTCTTTAGTACGTAGCCCGCAGGAGGTGCGTGGGAACTCAAAAATGGAAAATGGGGTTCTTTCGGTTTGTTGGGTATAGGATGCACGTTCAACCAGAAGCTCTGCGAATGATTTTTGTTGCCACACACGAAACATATCTCGGAAATGTCAGAAGTTGCTTTTAACGATTGTAGGTCTGTGGGCGGAGGTTCTTTCTTCACTTGGATTTTGTCCATTGTTTGCATTGGGAACCTGGAAAAACAAAACGGTTCAAACCAGACCCACATTAAACAGGAAACTTGGGTAAATAAATAGCCTGACTTCGTGTTACTTAACATCAAATATATTTATCTTTTTTTGCACTATCGGAGTCTGGAAACGTATCTAAAACGTCGGCAATAATAAAATTCTTTAACCTTAGCCCCAAGATAAAAATATGTGCAAGTGCCCGACACCCACGCTTTCTTCACTTGCGGGGGCTGTTTAGAAGACGCCATTTTTGCGTCTTACATTCTCTTTGACTACTGATGTTCTTCACTAACAAGATCCCTTCTTAACCGAACTGTCAACTCAGTTGGTAATAAATAACAAACGATGACCTTTGCTTATTATTATATAAAGAAAATAAGAGGTCAATAGGAGATGCAAAATATACGCAATATTGTTGATCATCAAATAGAGAAAAAAAAACTGCTAATAGTTTGACATTTTAACCTACCGATAATTAGTTTAATCATAAAATATTATTAACACAAGACTGACACAAGAGTCTAACCAAATGTGTACTTTTTCAAATTAAAATAATTGATTCGTTGGCTCGGTGACAACACCACATTCCCTCCACCTCCCGAACCAAGATATATTATTTATTTTGAACAAAACTGTATTTACACGACGTTCCATGTTTGTTTTTAAAATTCGCACAGAAATGAAAATGACTGACACTCTTTAAAGAGTGTCCTTAAAATATACCGTGTCACTTTAAAACCAGTTGCAACTTTATTCGGAATGTTGACGTATGTTGGAGTAAATAAAATGAATATTTTATTAGCACTGTTAATGTAACTATTTGCATAATTTTTTGATGACAAAAGATCAAACGAATACTCTCCATCGAGTAGGTGTTTTTACACCCACTGAATAAGAATCGTACCTATTTAATTAATGTGATGTACAGAAAATGGAAAGAAATTTTATACGCTGTATCTATTCCATTGTTTTATTATTAATTAGAAGAGATTACAAAAACATGATTGAACAAATTGTGAATTATCTAGTGTTTAAAACGTTTTTAAAAGAGCCTCATATTCTAGAAGCATTTGAAGTGTTTTTTCCATCTCGCATGTACGTCAATGAAATACCAATACATTGAAACTGACTTTTTTAATCTAAATTTGTAACTGATTTGTGCTAGATAATTGCCAATCGATGAGACACAAATTGATAATATTCCTTAAATACCACAGATAGCAAATATAAAGGACAGGTAATAATAATCTCGAGAACTACTATTTCCTTTACATATTTAACAACAGTAAATCCGACAAAATCATACGATAATAAACACGTTTTTAGGTCAAATGAAAAATATTAATTAAGAAAAATACCGTCAGTTTTCACATGGGTATTTTTATTTCCCTAATGCATTATGCGATGCACCTTCTGATATCACGCAATTTATATTTACTTATCAAAAATTATCAACCGCATAAAAAGATACCGAATACGACATATGTAATTAAACTTCCACTAGAAGCACTTACAACATATTTGAACTTTTATTGCGAAATTTTCTAACCAAGTTTTGATGCCACTGACGCAAAAACCAAGTTAACCTATGAATGATCTCAAAAGACTACGATATTTCAGTTCATAAAAAGCTATAACTGACATGAAAAATACAGGCTTAATTAATTTGGATCGAAAAGAAAATTTAAAATTGCGACTACAATTTGTTTTTCATGCACTTCAATTAATTATCTCTGAACATAATGGGACTACTAACAATACATTTGCTACTATTTTTTCATAAACGCGTAACTAGATAGTTCGAGTAAAGGCTTATACTATAAAAAATCAAACTAGTATTGTCTGGATAGATAAATTTTAGAATGCACAAATGTTTTGGAATTAAACAATATTATCTACAGAGAAATGGCAAAACAATAAATACAAGTTAATAAAAACAACAATATAAACATAAGACGCAGATATACTAAAAAACAAATTGGAAAATGAGCTAAAGATATATCACTATAACAATCCCATAAGCGGGACGCTCTTGTTCAGTGGATTTTAAGTCTTTGTTTCGCCCTGAACGAATACATATACACAACTAAAAATGCGACAATATTTTAAAATTGATCTTTCCTAAAAAACTAATACGTCAGCTAGTATGGTATGCTACTGCATGATGTGCATGCCTTTAGATCCAAGCTTGATAATATGTGTATCATCAATCAGAGATCAGTAAAGAAAAGTTTGGTTTAAGTATAGAACGATGAAACCTTATCAACCAATTAGATTCGATCCTAGAAGTGTAATTACATTAAAAAAACATTTCTTTAATTCGTGTGGAGCTAAAAATCGTATCTGAGTTCACTAAATTAACTGCATATTCTTTATTTTAATATTTATGTCCAGAAAATATGGAACACTTCAATGTAAAATCTTTACCCTTTGTAAATGAATTTAAAAATCGGTATTTTTTAAGGTGCCCATTTTACTGCTGTTGTTAGCATCCTCCTTGTAGAAGACGAACTGTGAAGTTAGACCATTTGACGATGTCAAGAGTCGTAGATTGATTCTAGTGCACCGGATGAGAGTGTCATCCATTTCCACCCTTAGCATCTACAAAAATTTATCTACTCGTACAACTATCGAAAAACAGATATGCATTATAAGTCAAAAGCTTAAAAGCTGTTATTCTTCTGTTTTTCAATAGTTATTACACTCGGATGATTATAACCCTCGCCTTCGGCTCGAATTGTAAACGTTATTCTCGTGTAATATGTCTGTAATTATACCGTCATTAAATCACATACATACTGCTATTAATAAATTACGTTTTGCGTATAAAAAAATCTGAATTACTGGATGTAGTACATTTATACATATACACATTGCTGTCATACCATGCATTCAATAAAAATACGGCGAAACCGGTTCGAACAGAGACAATTGAAAAGGCCAGCAGCGATCAAGAGTGGTTTAAAATAAAGCTATAAAAATGATTACCGACAAAAACTATTGTTAAAACTATATTTCCCTAACATCTGTTTAGAAATGCATAACGTAAATCATGAATCGTGGCAGTGGTTGTCAAATATGATTTTTTTTTTGTTACTTGAAACCGCCAGATGTTCAATTCTTAGACATCTTCCATCTATGTCTAGTTAGTTTTATTAATATAAAGTCTAAAAATACATATTTCTTTACTGTTAGGCAAAATTAATGAACCAGCTAGTCTTATCAATTACATTTTTAAAAATTTCTCAAAAATTAGATAATATATTATTAATTTATTATCAATCTGATTTCTCCAACAAATCAAGTAAAAATAAACTGTCTACGTAAATTATGAATATTAAATTCAAAACTGATCAATTAAATTATGTCACTCTCATCACGCCCTTTAACCTGAAAATTAACATTCTTATTTCCGTCCCACATTCTAGAATATTTCCAGAAAATAAGTGATTATCTAAATAACATTAATTTATCAGTGTATTTGTTTAGAGCCAGCAATTTAACGATTCCCGCAGCTCCGAACATCAAAATTCTAGGTTACACTTTCGATTGAGTGAAATGCTTCAATACGCACGTATTACAATACATCAGACGCATATTTTTGAACGAAATGTAAAAAAGGAGGTCACAAAGGTACCGGTATTTGCAATTAAATCCCTGGAAAGTCGGATCCGATACCAAGTTGGGCACCCAGCCGACGAACAGCTGTTGAAGGAAACGCTCGATAAAAGGCCGGTCCGAGGGGCCAAAAAAGCCGAACTGGTCAACCCTTCGTCTTGCAATAAAGCCATTGCGAAACGGGCTTTCGAAAAGCTAATTTTGTGCAACAGAGAAACCGAAATTCAGTGTCGAAATAGCTGCGCCATATACCATGTACGCACGTACGGCATTACAAGGTGTGTTCTGCGGGACTTCTGGTTGGACTTACGTGATTCTGGTGGCTCCTGACGTCCCTTTCGAATTATTATTACACTGATTTCGTCAACTTGTACACAAAAACATTGGCGAGTTCTTATCTTTGGACTATGCTATACACTTAAAATTACATTGCACTTATTAACTCCGATTATGCACATATTTACACACGACTTTTTACATGAAACTAACGTCAAATTCTAACGGTTTTAAGCCCGGTTTGGGTTCACTTAAAGGACTTAGATTTACAAGGGAAACATCGTTTTGAACGTTCATATTCGCACTTCCTTGCAAGAGGTGGCCATCTTGAAAATTTTTCCAACAATGCATTGCGGCGCTACCAACACGAAATGAACAGTGTAACACACAAAGTCCCTATGGTGAGATTTTAAATTTAAAATAAAGTTACTACATTTAAAACGATTTTTCGCAAGTATGAAAATTGCTAGTAATATTTGAAAAATTAACAAGATAGTACAATAATATAATTTCTGTTGTGGAAGGATAAAAAGTTAATTATACTATTAATTATAAATTGTACTCAATTATTCTACTAAAAAAAAATCATCTATCCTCCACATAATGGATAAAAAAACGAAACCATCAACTAACTTGAATAAACAGGAGAGTATTGAAAAACGACACTATAAGATAGATGAAGTATAGGCAACACACTTTACACGTGTCGTTCATTGTGTTACAAACGGTGTTACTATGGAAAAAATATCAAAACAAAAAAATATAGTATTAAGTACACCTGTGGAGAACAAATTGTTTTTAGATGCAAAATCAATACCTTTTGTGGTTATTAAAATCAGTCAAAATTAAATGAATCTTAGACAAAAATTACTTCGTTTCTATGAACTTAATCATAGAAAATGCAAGAAATTTGAAAATATTAATGTTATTAATTTTCATGACTGTAAAAACCAAATTTGGAAACAATGATTCAGTTGTGGTTTGCATTCCAACATAATTAATTAATTACTCACATGTAGTTTTTAAATACAAACTGGAAACTCAATATTCAAATAACTGTAATATGATTTATCAAGAAGAAGAGAAAATCAAGCGCCGATAGAGACGTTAACTGAATAAATTGTCAATCTGCTAATTGGGTTGTCTATATAAAACATTTATTTAATACCTATCTACAATGGAAAAAATATTTAATCGTTCAATTCATGAGTTTACTCTAAGAGGATCAGATAATTATTATAATTACTTAAATACTATATTGTGGCTGATAAAAATCAAATATAAGTTGTATTTGTTTATCAAATAGGCGAGCCTGTTTCCATCAAATTCACCCTTTAAGATAAAGCAAGGTTTTTGATGTTTAGGACATTTTCCAGCATTGAATTCAATTTTCTTTGTTTGAGATAGTAACTGAACGTTTGATTAGTAAAGGATGAAGTAATAAAAGAGGTTTTCGCTCTCCCTATTGGGTTATAATTAATACTAAATTGAGTCATCCTAAATAAATCCGAAAATTTTGGGTGAATATAATCCTAAACTTCACCATATTTTGTGCACATAATTCAGATAATTAAGTAAAGTCCAATTCCGATTTTTCAAACATTTAGTTACTCCAAAGCTGTGCTCCAAAGTATTCTGATTTTAGCAAATGCTCCCCTACAAAGAGAATTTAAATTTCTTTGCAACTTTGTATATAAAAATACCTTCGCAGATAACGTTGTAACCAAAGTAACTTTTTCTAATTCATTCAACAGCTTTTAACTTTATTACAAGCCATATTGTAATGAAAAATTAATGTTAGAAAGTTTGTATTAGTTATTAACAACTAAAATTTGAGTCATAAATATTGCAACGACCAAATTTTACTCCCAAATAATAAGCAATCTTAACAAAAAAATATTTTTAAATAAAGTCCAGTCAAAATGAATTTATTATTGATTATGCAAAAAATAGCCAGTTAGAAAACTTTGGAAACTTTTGCTTTATAGTGATCGTTATAAGTTGCTCAGTAACAAAGTTTCAAAAATAATTATCCCACTTTCGCAGTTTTGTGATACAAATAATTAAGTAGACAAAAGATATCTACTGAGTTTAAAGAATGATAAGTATACCTAATAAGCAAAAGTTGGTGGAAAAAAGCATACATGTACTACACTAATTAACTGATTATATATATTATCGTACTTAATGGATTTTTTCACTTGTATTTTTATTAATAATTTCTAAGAATTTAATTTGAATTGGAAAAAAAATAATCGAAGTAACCTTCAATTATAATTTCCGGTTGGGACTTTACCAAGCAATGTGTTTTCCAAAGCTGTGACGACTGACGAGACTGTTTTATAACTACCATAGGTACCCATAAGTTTTATACCCACATGAACAAAGTAGTAAGTAACCTTTGTATTTATCACGGAACTTTAGATGGTTAAACACCTATTTTTTAGTATCTGTGAAGTCTTAACTACTACCTAAATTTTTAAAATAGTCGTAAAAACGATGACACAGTTCGTACTGACTCGTAATCAAACATTCATCTCAGAATGCTTACTTTAAACATTTTTATGATGACGTCGTAAGTTTTCTTGGGAGGATGAAGATTAGTTTTCAACATATTAAAATGTTTTGGTTAAAAATTGGTTTAATACTTTACCTATTTGTTTGTTTACGTGAATTTAAACTTCACTTGTGTATGTGCTTTAGTTATGGAAAATACTGATGCTGAGAGCTTCAGGATTCCAAAAACCACTTTTTTTATTCTTCAACTTCCGCTGTTGATCTTGTTTCCTTAGTCACAAGATCCATAAAGGTGTGTTAGTAACTTGGAAGTTGAATATTTTAGTTAGTGAAATAAAACTAATTTATGATTACTGAATGTCCATGTTTACGTAAACAGTGGATAGTAAAAACTCATAAATTTTATAATACTAACAAAATACTTGTAAATATGTAATAGATACATACATGCTTATACATTCAACATCGACAACAATTTTTTCAAGAATGAACGGAAAATATATTTCATGTTAATGCATTAATTATCACAAAACAAAATTTCTTATCACACAATTTCTCTTAATAATACTAACATTAACATCATATATGGATATAGATATTTACAAATATTTATGAAACTACACCTAAATTAACATTTTGCATTGATGACTTGACTAACAATAATATAATTTGCATTGTTACAGTTTTTCTCAGTTTCTGACTATTGTCGCAGTTATTAAAATAAAACATTTTAGGTCCATGGTACTTTACATAGTAAAAATTGTATATAGATAATTGCATTACTTGTAACATAATAACCTCAATATGAGATTTGGTTAACAAAAAATCACAACAAAATAATTTCAAAAACGAAATTTCTTTTCCGATTGTCACTAATGTACTCTGTTTTTCCTGACAACACTTCCACAACAATTTCGAAAAACCAAACTTAAACTATTCGAGATCAAGAACTTTTAGCGAATTTAGTCTTTCGCCTCGTCTGTTGCCCTAACTCAGCAGTAAATTCGGAAGCTGAATGGGCAAGAAGACTTTCTGCGCTTGAGTAATATCTGATCGGCAAAGAGGACATCGCTCGCACCTCGAGGCACAAGCTGTGCAGGCCACACCGTGCCCGCAAGGTAAGAAGATCGCGTCAATTTGACTATCCATGCAGATCTTGCAGGTCATAGCGTCTAAAATTCTCGAAAGCTTCTCCTGGGAATTCTGCAAAGACACACACAAAATTAGTTAAGTTTAAACTAAAGTAAGCAACAAAATGTGTTGTTCTTATAAGTAAAGTTGTCAACTTACTTTGCACTCTCCCCCGTTTCCATTTTCGTCGAGATTCCTGCGCTCCAAATCTTGTGTAGTGTTCTCTAAATACAGCGCTCGTCTAGCGTTATCATACACCTCTCTACAAGTTCTCCGTATATCAAAGACATACTTTTTGCCTAAGGTAGAGTCTTCGTTGAAAATTGAAACAATGGTCCCTTTCAAGTCGCGAATGAACTGTGCCGTGACAGCACTTCGCACAGTCTCACAACTATAAAAAGCGTGGTCTTCGGTGATGGCCCTGTATAGGCTACTAGCCATATGACTAGAATCTAACTTAATATTTAAGACGGCAACCTGGTTATCGATGGTCAAGTATTCCAGCTTAAAAGTGCGCTTGTGAGAGGAAGCACTAGTGATGTTCGTAAACGAGATTAACTCCTTCTCCTCATCTCTGCCGTAGATCGTGATTCCGTGGGGGCCGATACCATACACCGCATTATTATTGTTCTGGGTCTTGACGGCGAAAGTCTCCTCCCCAAAATTCTCAAATTCCGAAACTTCCTTCAAAAACCAATACTCGGCTGAGGAACTCTTCATTCCTTTGCACTCCTTGTGCTCGTGGACGATCCTCTGAAGCAAATCGTTGGGCTTCTCCGATTGGTTCAGAGGGCTGACGGAAGCGGCTAAGTTATAGATATTTCGAGGAGGGTCTAATTCGTTGAAGTCGCCACTTTCCGCCTGCGCGATGAAAGCGATCAGTCTTGAAATGCTGTTCCAGTCGGGCGCTGTTAAGCGTTTTTCCAGCAAGTGCAGTCTTGCGTTTAAGTAAAACTGATGTCTGAAAAAGCATCAGTTAGAACAAACTAAACACGTTGTGACTAGTTTCAGTACCTTGTGCTTTCTTGTTGGAGAATGTGAGGTGGTACCCAAAATTTCACTCGCAGTGACAGACGAAGGTAAGAAGTGTGGCCATGGAAGGTGACTTGTCTGTCAATTGGGTTCCGTAGATTCAACCAAGATTCTTCACCTTTGTGGTTTTCGTACTTCAAACCGAAGTAGTCAGATTCGTATCTCACGTTCACGAATTCGCATACCTGGAACAAGAGGAAACTGTGATGTGAATGTGGAAGTAAAGATTTATTGTGGGGGCTCGATGTGAGAAGTTTAATAAGTACAGTACTACGGTATTGTTCTATAAATGGAACGGAGATATTTTGTTTATATTTTGAATTTAAATTGTCTACTTAAATAATTTTTGCGCGTACTGATTTGTATGAAAACAAAAAGCAGTCGAATGAGACATGCAAAACACGAGATTGTAATTTATTTATGTATGCGCTTCGATTAGTTGTGATACATATGGTAGTAAATATAAATGAAAATGTTAATGTACGGTGGAACGCCCTAAATGCAACCAAAATTCTTCCTAAAATCTATGAGCTGTGATAAGTAAAAGGGATAGATATAGCATTGATAATAATTTATAGCAGGCTGCCGACAATAGACCTTCAACTCAGAATAATCATTTTCCGGATACTTTTCAAATATTAGAATTAAACTTGAGGTAGGTTAATATGTATGTATAAAGCTATCAATTATATTTTCCAAGTGTAGCTCCTCAATTTAAATATTTAAGAAATTTAATATTTTTCTTTTATTGTATTTTATTATTGTTTCTAACATAATAATCGACACAACAGTATTCATTCTTCCGGACGACTTGTATAAAATCGAATGACGCATAAATTATAAAAATAATATTAATTTGTTTTAAGTTTTTGTTGTGAAAAGATGACTACGTATATTAAGCGGAAAAAGGCAACATGTAAGCCCCACCCACCCACCCTATCTCAATTGTAAAGATTTTTTTATTCGTTGTCAGCCAAGAGGGCGGAGCTTAATCGCAAAATCCTTATTTCTCTACAAGAAATGACCATGTAAGACATGTTTTTGAGTATCGGTTTGTTAAAAAAATACTAGGTATATTATCTTTTGGCAAATAAACAATACGATTACTCAAGAACATATTTCACAGCAATTTCGCGTAGGAAAACAAGGATTTTGCAATTAAGCTTCGCCCTACGACTTACGACGGGTAAAAAAATCATCACGATTGAGATGGGGCGGGTGGGCGGGGCTTATATTATACCTTTTTTCTTAATATGCATACGTAGCCATCTGTTTTACATTTTTGTTGTGTAAAGATGACTACGTACATTAAAAAAAAATCAAAATATAAATAATAATGTAATAATTATTTTAGGGTAGGCTGTCGGCCTTATTAGAAGGTTTTTCCCTGGCTGTTCAGTGCGCAAATTTAAATATCGCCGTGCTCCTAGCGGCAAGACCCTGAACTAACCACTCAAACCGTGTTGAATTAAGACCCATTTTTTTCAATAATTGTACGTTTTTGTTAAAAACGATAAGGACTGTACCACTATTATTTAAATAAATTGCACTACTAACAAATATGTAATATGACACAGGTCTTTAAAATACGTTACTTTGTTAGTGTGAGGAATTTCAAGCGATTCTATGATGTCACCCAAAAAGTAGGAAAAATAGAAGACAATACCATATTTCTCTGTCACATTTTTTTGGTTGACGAAATATTTAGAACAAGAACATGAAAAAAGGTGCAGTTTTATGTAAAAATACATCTCTATTAATATCATTGTATCATTGAAAAAAAATTGTCCTCCTCTGGCGAGTCTCCTTAAAGTTTAAAGACACCATTAGTTGAGGTTTTATCGCAGGTACGAGTAGTGGATAAACATGCAAACCTTTACATTTACATGTACATATAGCAATTGTGAGTGCGTAGTTTATGGTACTAGAAATCTGACCCAACCTTTTAAGATCACTGACCACCTTGAGCTCTTGAGCATGTAAGAAAATTAAAAACCATCAAGTATTGAAAACACTTACAAAAAGAATAAAAACAGTACAGTAATAAATGCAATAAGATATCAAGGAAGGCGCGTTTGTTTACACCCACTGTATATCACAATGTGTTTTTACCAAATCTCTAATATTTTACTTTCCCTTATTAATAAAGTAATAAACAAGTTCCTGTGTATATCATGATATATTAGATGAGTTATTAAGAATAATTAAACAACTATGTTACAGTAGTGACGGAAAAGTGTTATATCCAATTAACGCACGTATAACGCACAAGATTTTATCTAATACCTCTTAATGATGCCCCAACATATAGTTAAATGTTTTCAAGTCTGACTTACACAAATGATTAGTTATCAAAAACCAGTGTAAAGACGGTCATATGTAGTAACAATGTTTTCAAAAATTTTAAGACAACATTGTTGGAAGCGACACCTTGTTTGAGATACCTCACGTGGGTGTCCCACCTCGATTATAGTAAACATGGTCTGAGGCGTTCTTCAACAACTCTGCTGGCAAACGCAAAGCTGCTATCACAACAATGAAAGAGCAGCAGAGGGGTTATATACAAGATTCAATTTCCACCGAGGCTCAGATAGCTAAGACGGTACAGGGTCCGGTCAAGCCAACGTCAGATTATTCTTTGGCCTCGACTTCTGCTGCTCTAGTGGACGAATCCATTTCTGTCTGTGATCCTCCAAACACGCCTTACACTATAAATACAACCTTAATTAACCTGAATTGTGTTGGATCGAAAAAAACGATTTCATTATTATTATCAGCAAAATAAAAACGTGGTTTTGATTGTTATTTTATATACTTATTTAAAATAACCATATATCGTTATCACGTTTTTATGAAGAGGTGTTGAATATAAAAAAGTAATTATAGTAAAATAGTGAAATTAAATGGTTTTTGTTGTATCAGTATTTTAGTGGATTAATGCGTAGTTTCAGGTGGCAAAAAGAGAAATTTAAATGATACAGTCGAAACTGCTGTTAATCTAGATTTCCCAGAAAAACTTATTTATATATAAAAAATATTTGGCACTTAAGTCGTTGGAAACTCCCATTAAGCAGGATACAAAGATCACTTCGGTTAGTGTAACAAATATTCAATAAATAGGTCACCAACTGCATGCTCACTGTCACGTTTTTAGTGAGTATCTTAGGTAATAGTGTTATAATAACTGATCCATGGTCATGTCACAAAGAAGTGAAGTGAATAATTATACGAATAATTAACTATCAGCCATTACGAAGTGAAACTGCCTGTATTATATGATATTCCAATGACAAGTTTTTAATTACTATTTCAATAATTACCACAACTATTTCCAGCACAACATTACAATAATCAAAAGTAATATTCACACAACAATTACTCCCCCCTGTAATCAACTTTCTATTGTTAACGAAAATTAATTCATTCTAAATAAAACACAGATAGCAATCTATCGAAGCGCATCTTTTGTTCGCTGCAACAATAATCCTCCGTATCATTGATAACAATCGAACATGGCAAAATGGTAATTGATTTCGCTTCGTCCAACTCAATAAAGTCCAATAAGCTTCCCCTTATGGAGTTTCATTAAAAATAACTTTGAACTTTGACGGCGTCAAGTCTAATTTTACTCGTAGGCCTCTGATCAAGTAAAAGGGGAGATTCCGATGTTGGCATTCATTCGAACCCGAACAAAGTCCAATCCACTCTTTAGTCATGCCGGGCTTCCTTCAACAACTCGCGGCCTTCTCTTTCTCTATTGAGATTGATCACTTCCAACGTAATAAGGTTTCTCCGAAACCTCGCTCTTATAACTTCTTGCATCTTCTTGCGTTAATTTGTATTAAGAACAATACCTATAATTTTAATTTCAAGAGCGTTTGTAAAAAAACGGTGTGTCGTATGTTGTACAACTGTGCATTTTTAATTTAATTTCCTGTTAAAAAGACGTCGTCTTCTTATATAACAAATTTTACGTTGATTTTACGTGTTTAACTGGTCCATCTAGTGGCATAAAGTGCAAAAATTACACAACCTGCTGGTAGCTTTTATTGCTACTAAAATGTGGTTTTTGAAACACCTATACATACAGGAAAATTACAATTTATGTGGAAGTTATGAAAATTTGATGACGAAAACGTGAAAAAAAGGAGAATGTTGGTATTATAATTGCGACCCGGTTTCCCCTACATCGGACTATCACACCGATTGTAAACTATTTACATATTTCTGAAAAAGTTGCAGATAAGGCTTTTAATGTCGCTTTCATGTGATGTTGCTTCCGTTGCTAGATATATCACAGTTAAACACCGACACATCACAGTTATTTTAAAATGATTGTTTCCCAAAAGCTTTGTATTTATAGATAATGCAATTTCACGAATATTGAGTACACGCACAAATTTATGCAGAACTCCTCATTTAAGATCGCGAAATGGCCGCATAATTACCCAGCCTTCACAAAAAAAGGAGAGCTGAGAAAGCCGAAAAAAAATATTGCATTAGATTTCGAAAGTGTATGTGTGTCGCGACTAATTTCGACGTTCCGTTGTGCACATACACCTCCTGGTACTTGTAGGCGCGAAGCGGAGCGATAACGTGACATTACTCATATACTGCAAGCCTCAAGGAAACTCGCGGTACAAAGTCCACGGTATTATTGGCCGGCAATCCCACAATAAATTGGTGACATCATAAGCGTGGCTGCTAGCCGGACAACCGACTTTTAATGGGAGAGCATGCCGCGAATGCGAGGTAAATTGGACTTTGGACTCTGGGTTCTAGCTGCAGCAATAAAACAATCCAGTTCAAACAGAACTTTATAGGTTCCACCGAGCATAAGCAAATCCTCCAAACGATTCAATTACGGTTCTAATTAGATGTACAATGGAAACAAGGTAAAGGACGCTTATTTGACTGCGATTATTATAATTACTTTTCACATTTGCGGTTTCTAAACCTTTGCAATTATTTAGAGTAGACCTCTTAATCAAGTCCTTCAACTTTTCGCCAAGGTTGAAGATTTCTTCGGTTTCGAGAAATGAAGTACCGCTGAGAGTGAGTGGGTAGACGGAGAGTAGTAACAGGAAGGTGTTAAGCGGCGAACACGTTTGGGACCGCTGATCAAGTTGGACTTTGGACTGTTTACCTCGCACGGGTTATTTACATACACGCACTCTCCTTTTAA